GCAAAATAATATAATTAAATAGGGAAATCCTTAGCTCGTAGGCAAAACTCCAAATAATTTTACTTCGGAATTATACCACCTTTGCACTACACTAAAAATGATTGTTGTAATAAGCTTAAGGAATCAAATTGGTTGGTACCTGTAGGTACTTTTTGTGAATTTTCTGGTGTTTTACCTGTGAGGTCGTATGAAAGTAGCTGTTTGCCTTGGGTGAATATAAGGAAGTTGGTCATCAGTTCTCGGCACGCATCGCAAAGGAAGAAATTTAACGCGAGTGTCAAAGGGCGATGCACTTTTAAATGCTCGATGCTCATTCAGACCTCGAATAGTTGATTATTATTGTTGTTTGTTTTGCACCGTCACTACAGAAGTAAATAGTATAAGAGTACCCTTAGCGCGAATCAATATCGGATTCGAATAGTTGCATTCGATATCGATTCGCGTCAAATATCGAGATTTTGTATGGAAATTTGAACAGCGTCACAACCACAATTGACGTAACTAGAATTATATTTATATTATAGAATTATATTTGTTTCTTAGGGTTTCACGCACACCACTAATTAAATAAATAAATAAATATTTCCAAAACTCACACCAATGAGCCTAGCCCCAAAGTAAGCGCTGTAAGGCTTGTGTTGTGGGATGCTAGGGTAACGGATAGAATACATATACTGTACATATATATGTATATTTATATAGAAATACATATTAAACATCCATATCTGGAGTACAAATGCTTGTATTCATTACACAAACATCTGCCCCCACCGGGATTCGAACCCGGGACCTCTCGAGTCGGCGACACCATAAACCCGGCGTACAAACCACTATGCCACGGAGAATCTGCCACGTTAGAATTATTAATTAATGCTGACGACGCAATTATTAATTGATTCTGACGACGAGTCTAAAAAGGATGCGTAACATCATAAATAAATAAATCAGTGCATGTATATCGTTGTATTTAGAATTAATAATCTTGCATTGAATTTCGGAAACGGATTTGTCTGTTTTCTTTTTAATGGGCTAACACAGTCGACACAGGCGACTAATACAGTCGCAAGTGCGCAAATCTGCTAACTCAGGTTGCTAGTGCGATTACTAATATTACGATTCCAAGTTTTTCCAAGGAAAATTAGGCCCCGTAAGCGGTAGCAGTTAGGAAATTAAAAACCGCTTTTCTCGTATTTAACTCAACCAATTGAGACGCACTTTGTCTAGAAATGATTTTGAGGGATTTCTCAAACTAACCTGTTTGTTTAAAGAACCAAATTTTCTAAACTATTTCTTTCTTTTTGAAGTATTTTTTTTAATTGTCGCTCCTGATCTCAATTATGGACCAAAAGCTTCAATTTGCACTGTGGGTTTTCTTCCTAGACCCATTTTTCGCCCCGCAATCGCTAAATTTAGATTTTCTTAAATATGCAATTGCAGCGCCCCCTCTTGCAAATAAAAAAAAACAAAATTTCAATATGAAGGGAATAAAGAGAATTTCATCTCCATTATCTTGATGCATAGTATCTACAACCTTGAGATTTTGTCGAAATTTTTTACTACGTAAAAAAGAAATCAAAATTTCATATGAAAGAGTATAAAGAGAATTTCACCCCCATCCTCGAATTTGTTTACCACGTACGGCAAAACTGTGAAATACATTGTCGCCAGCAGCATTTCCGGATCAATATGACCCGAAAACCTACCAAAAAGAGCGGACTCTTTCCTTAAAGGCCGGCATCGAATTTGTATGTTGTTGCATACTCCTGGTGTTGCAGGTGTCTATGGGTGATGATCTCTTACCATTAGGTAAGCCGTGAGCTCGCATGCCCACTATAATACGAAAAAATACGTGATCATATGAAAAAAAAAATTGCAAACAAAAATAAAAACCTAAAATTGGGTGATTTTGGACATCATAGATTGGTTAATTAATAATTCAAAGCGCCATGATCGCTATTCAGACCTCATGCTCGAATTCTGCACCCTCGAAAACATAAATATCAGTCATAAAAGACTGGATAAAACATTTGATATCGAACAGTGGAAAAAATAGACAGGAGGACTGGACTAGAAAGACAACATTCAGTTACATAAATAAGTACCTATATTGAGTGTTACCAAAAATATTACAAAACCTAAAAGATTATTTTTATCGTATCGATGCTTTTTAATTTGAACGAAAATATCGAGTCGAGTCGATAAGAGTACCCTTGACCACAGTGCGTATTGTAAGTTGTAACCGCTCACATCACATGTTGCTACTGTATTGAGAAAGCAGTAACGTCACAAGATGACGACACACTACTGCTCCAGACGAGAAGCTGATTTCAATAATAATGGTAAGTCGTACAATGCCTACGTATTGGCAAGAACTCGAGTGTATTGAGTCTTTTATAGATAACTAGCTGCCCCAGCGAATCTCGTACCGCCGGTTGTATGTATTTTTTAATACCACATTTTAAAAATTTTGGGGTATGTAACGTAGTGTTCTATCAATTTCCTGGGGTAACATTACTCCTAACCCATATGAAAACACTACGTTACAATACCCAATAGTTTGAATTTTGGCGCGAAGGCGCATTGTAGGTTTCAGAACACTACGTTACAGGTGGACAACCATTATCATTATGATATGAAAAATTGATAGTAGTAGATTCTCAGACCCACGGAATATGCAGATAAAGGAGATTGCTCAGCTTCCATACATGTTGGGCCTAAACACCAATAATCATGAAAAATTGATTCCTAGATTCGAAATTATATATAAATTACTGTAGAAACGAATATTATTGACGGACACCCCTGAGAACTTCTATAAACCATATACACTGAACATATTAAAATAATAAAAAACAAATAAGTTATATAGTAAACTAGTGAAATCAAGCCAAGTACCGAAATTATGGATTAGATTCAGGTATATAGAGCATGTACATTAACAGATAGTTGCCTGTTTTTAAAGCTAATGCATAAGAGTAACTTTTAAAAGCAGGTGTCATTTCAGGTTATAATAAAGTACTCTGTGACAGAAACTGTGTGATGATTGTGAATGAGCCACAGATTAGAGAGAATTTTTAAACTCTCGTTAACCAAAGAAAGCTAAGAGATTAGGTTCAATAGCATCAGCATATTCAGTAGCTTCATTATTTTTGTTATGTTTTTAAGATAACCATATTTTAGATTTTTAGTGTATATTACACCTTATAATTTTATTTATTTATTAATTTATAGTCAGGGACCGTAGGACCATAGATAGTGTACCGTAGTGTTTATGGAGGTGTTTGGCGAAAAATGTATGGCAATAGACTTTATGATGTCACCTACCATCTATAATAATTGTCTGAGCACATTTGCATCTAGTGAAAATGATAATATAGTTGTGGATATTAATACCACAGTGTAATAAAAAGAAATATTTATTTTATCGATCTTTACAAAATAGATTTGTTTTTATGTTATATAAATAACTTCGATCAGTCTTTGGCTGAATGTTACTACACCCATAGCCATTAAAAATGATTCGTATGTTTTCCAAACCGGTAAAATTAAAAATACTTTTTAAAGTAAATATATTATACAAAGGTGTCCGTTGAAATGTAATGACTGTAAATTAAATTATAAATTACGCCAAGAATTACTGTGTATGTCAATATTTTTTGTGCATTTAGGCCAATTTGAGCAATCTCCTTTCATAAAAATCGGTCAGGCCGTTTCGGAGGAGTATGGTAACTAACATTGTGACACGGGAATTTTATATAAATAATATATGGGATTGGTCTCATCTAGCAAGAATTTGTTAAAAAACTTCAAAACCTTCCGTTCTACCTTACAGATTCTACTTACAGATACATGATAATAATATGTAGTTACTAGTAAAATATCTAAATGCAAAGTTATACGTTTGCGGTACCAGAGTATCATTTGCGCGCCCTTAATTACCCTGACTATCCCTTACCCCGTAGAGCCCTTACCCATTGACAAAAATACACCTGGTGTTATTATTTCACTGCGTTTTTGTCAACATACTTCTCAGACGTTCACAACGTTTCGAGTACAAGATAGGTTAAGGCAAACAGGTAGACAACTCTCCTAAAATCTCCAAGAGTAGTATTTTTTAATAATGTTTTATTTGTGTTTTTGACGTGACAACGTCTTAAATTAGGTTGCGGCTGGGAGTCACTTATGAAAAAGTGTAACGCTCGGTAACGTTACGATGAGTCTCTCGTGTTAAGTTTAAGTTTACATGTACAATGTTTTAGTAAACAAAATATATTTCTATAGTTAAAATTTGTGCAATTCTTATTTTCATTCAATTCCTTGTTCCTATTGTGCAATTTAATTATATTCATATCAATAAATATTCTACCGAGAAAAAGACGTTGTCACGTAAAATCTTCGCCCGTAAAACCGACTTTACAGGCAACCATTTTTTTGTTCTTTATTTATTTAAAGGCTTTCATTTTACGAAAATGCCAGCCTTATCCTACCCTAACCAAAACTTATACAAAACTAATTTAAATTAAAACATTGGAGAGGGCGAGCTATTCTTACTATCGGAAATCATATTAAACATTGCTGCACTGAGTTAGTTAGAGCTAATATTTCCACAAAGAAACCTATATTCCCAAAGTTCTAGTCTATATTTTATTTTATAAAAAGCTCTCTGTGGTGCAAGTATCCTAAATAGATTTTTAAAATGGTGGCCCATTGGCGGCCTTATGGCTACGTAGCCATATCTTCCAGACAACTATAGGATGGAGAGACGAAATTTATTTAAATGTGCGATTAGAAAATAAAAAGAAAAAGAAAAGAAATAACATAATTGGGAGGGATAGGCTTGGAATAGGCCATGATTTGCGAGCTAGGTACTACAGATGAGTTGCTGACGTATAGTTTTTTTCTGCTATTAATCTAACCGCTCCATCCAACGCCCGCTTTTTTTCTTTACGATAGCAACAGCACGCGACATCACGTTATTTTGACAAAGAAATTTTAAATAAATTGTCATCTATGAATGCAGCTGTTATAGCAATGAACTTTTTGTGATCTTCGTGTCACATCTTTGCTATAGTATTTAACCGTTCCACATTACCTACATGTATTCTGACAATAGGTCAATTAGTAAATTTTCCTCGGCACCGGCCGGCGCGGCGTGTATATTGGCGACATCATCTGTTGGAAGGGCTGTCGGCCTCCATCCTAGTTGTGCAACGATGTCTGCTACGATGCTCTCGCCGCGTGGAGAGCCCAGTCTTGACGGCGCGTGTGCTGGGAGCGCGTGATTGTACGGAAAATGTTGCGTATCACGTTAGCGACGTTGCTGTATTTCGCCGCTCGCGCGTGCGGGACTGTCATCCATATCAATGGTAATTATTGACTATGTTTGTTTATAGAATAATAGGTATATTTTCATAAAATGTAAATTTTTTACTAGTAGTAGAAAAAAATGGTGGGGTTTTTTGAAACCAGGATGCAAGTGAAACTTTAAATCATTAATAAAAAAGCCCTTCCTCGGCTGGTATTCGAACCCAGGCCGCCCGCATAGCAGGCAAGCTTTCTATAACTGAACCACCGATGCTTGTCGATAGTTTGTAAATTTTTTGTAACAATCAAAAACGTAATGCGACATGTAAAGATGAACGAAAATATTTGTAGTGATTCAATAAAAGTTTCACTTTAAAATTTGATTTATCCTTGTATTTATTTGTACTTGAATACTTAAGAATATTCAAATGTTTGTGAATTAGTAATAAAAATTGTGATATTTTACTGTAGTTATTTTTTACATAAGCTCAAGATATTTATTTTCAAAGTTTAATTTGACTTTATTTTATTTGTTTGTGCCGTTTGTTTCAAATAACTTACTTGTTACCACAATGCTAGCCTAAATGGTGTGAGTGTGAGAAATATTTATTTATTTATGAAATTGCAAAAAAATTAAACTTTTATTCAAGTAACTGCAACTTTTGAAACTTCTCTCTTGATGTTCACCTGAAAGATCACTACCTAATCTGAAAATACGAACAAACCTGATGAAGAGGTGAAAGACAAGGCTGATGTATTAAAACTTCCCACCAGATTGGTGTTATCATGATGAAAGACAACACCATTTCTGTCGATAAATTTCGGTCGTTTTCCTTAAAGTTAAAGTTTGATAAGCTGTTGTCAGAAAAAGCTCATTGGTCGCGCCGCTTAGTGTACATGCTCATCATAATTCATAACTAGTTGTATCTTTCAGGAGGTACTAATCGCGGATTATTCACTTTTCATCACCAGATATCTATCTATCTTAGCGAAAATAATTCCGTTTCATTACCCTTCGTCGGGGATTAGCAAATAAGTTGTAAGTTTTATTTTCTCTTTATTAATTTGAATTCTTTATTTTTATACTTTAACTAGCTGACCCAGCGAACTTCGTACCGCCATTAAAATAGAGGCTGCTAGTAGAAGGGTGAAAATTTAGGATTGTATGTATTTTTAATACCACATTATAAAAAATATAAAAAAATAACCAAAAAATAAAAATAAAATGTTAGGGGTGGATAATCCTTATCACTTACGGGTATAAAAATAGACAGTAGCCGATTCTCAGACCTACTGAATATGCATATAAAATTTCATAAAAATCGGTCAAGCGGTTTCGGAGTAGTATGGTAACTAACATTGTTACACGAGAATTTTATATATAAGAGATTAGGTTTCATTTAAGTATTTTATTTTTTTGTGTTGTAATAGAACGGGGTTTTTTATTGTTATAGTAGATGGTTGATTTTCTAATATTCTTGTAAGCTATGGAACTAAATATTGAGCTTTTTTGCACACCTAATATTTTCGAATAGATCAAAACTGTTCCCAATTTCAGATACGTTGTAAAATTTTCTTTACATTTATGTTACAGTTAACTGTTTCCATCTTGAATGTTATAAAGTTTAAATATAATAATACGTATTCGTAACTTACTTTACCTCAAGGTAAATATAAGTACCTAACATGTATTTGCCTGTTTGAACATTTGTTTAAATACCTTTACTTTAGAAGCTTTACAAGCAAGGAGAGAGGCATATTTCAAACACAAAAGATCGTATCAAGGCGATTTGTGTTTATTCATTTGAAAAGGCCATACGCAGTATGGAAAATATGGCAAGTACACAAATAAATAGCAAATACACCCGATGAGTAGCACTTCAAATGAGAATAATGAGACATTTTGTAGGAGAACATGAGTCTCACTATTACGTAAAATAACATCATATAAATCGTCAGGGGAAATGATATAAGCAGGGGATGAAATTCGTATTCATATTTATATATATTTACTAGCTGACCCAGCGAACTTCGTACCGCCCTAAAAAAATAGGGGTTGTCCAGCGGACAAAATTGTGAATCTAAACCATTCTCAGATCCCCTTGAACACACACAAAAAATTTCATCAAAATCGGTCCAGTCGTTTAAGAGAAGTTCAGTGACATACACACTCACAGAAGAATTATATATATAAAGATAACTAGTCTGCCCATACATACCGTTACATGAAAACTTTTTTTTTTCAACTTTTTCTTTATTTTGAATTTGGATAATTTGGAACACGTATACTATTTTACTAACTTCTTTCGATGACTTTTTGGCGGGATCGGGAAGCGTCACTTTAGCAGTTTTGTTTTTCTTGTTAAACATTGTGTTGTGGCGGATGTTTGTAATAATGGTGGATTATTAACCATTAAGTGTTCGGGAACATGCACACGTGTTGGCAAGTGAAACAAAATAGCGGAAAGTGCCTTTCGACGTTCCCTCAAGAAGTCCACGGGGAGGTTCCAGTAAATCCTCACACTTTAACTGAAACATAGGGAAAGGGGGATTGACTTGATTACCACTTACTTTGACTTGATTTATTACTTTTACCACGAGTGCTATAGTATTTGTAAACATTTTAATACTTGACATTGGCTAAATGCAAGAGCCGTGCCAAGCCAGTTAGAAAAAAAAACTTTCTATTTTGCGCCATTTAACATATTTTCCCGTGTTCATTATCAATATCAATATTATCGATTACAATATGGAATGGGGTGTTAAAGAAAATACGATTGCTGTGATCGCCTTGCACAAAGTAAGGTATGGAGCCGTCGGTCATATTCCAGACACTTCAAAAGCTTGGTGTCAGCCGCATGATCGTAAATCGTACTATCAACAGATACAATAACACTTTGTTTGTCGAAGACCAGAAAAGATCAGGGCGGCCGCGTGCTAGAATTACAAAGGCTACCAAGGCAAAGGAGAAATAAAGATTCCCGCTAGGACTCTGTCGCGTATTAAAAACAATATCTGAAACTCTGTGCTTATCGTCGATATAAAGGACATGCCCTAAATCAATCTTAACAATTAAAGAGAGTGGGTCGATCAAAATGCCACCTGTCGCAATACGCAGGTGAAAAGCACAGAAATATCCTCTTTACCAATTTTCACGATTGAAGAACACTATAATAAGCAAAATGATAAAGTGTACGCTCACTGTTCTAAAGCAGCTGCACAAGTGGTCGGAAAGGTACAACGTGGCCATCATCCTGGTCAGTGATGGTTTGGTGGGGCGTCTCTTATCAAGGAGTCATAAAACTACATTTTTGTGAAAAAGAGTGAAAACTTGGATCATGTTGTGAAACCTCTCAGCAATACACTTTTTAAAAATTTATCGTGGACTTTCCAGCAGGTTTTTGCACCTGGTCACAAGTCATGAACTACCCAAGCCTGGCTTGAAACCGACATTCCAGACATTATATTATGAAGAGCTGTAGACTGACCCTCATCTAGCCCGGACTGACCATACTTTGAAGTCAACCCTTTAGACTTCAAAGTATGGTCAGTTTTAGAGGACATGGCCTGCTCTAAACGACACGGCGATATTGAGTCTCTTAAAAAATGTTTGAAGCAAGCAGTGGTAAAATTTCTTTTGGAAACAGTGCGTAAATACATAGATTCGTGGCCAAACAGATAAAAGGCCCGTATAAAAGCCAAAGGTGGCCATTCCGAAAAGAATATTTTTTTATTTTTGCTGTCTTTAATAAATATGTAGATATAAATTTAAATAATATTACATTACTTCATTAAAAAAAGCATTTTCATTTGTAACAGAACTTATGACTGGACTAGGTATATATATAAATTAATTCCTATTTACCTTTGTCACGCCATAACTTGACAACAACTAGGTAAATATATCGATTTCATCAATCTTCTTTTTAAAGTTTTCCAATACTTAAAAGGTTCTTACGAACCGAAGTTGACGAGGACGAGGTCACGGGCGGAAACTAGTTTATAAATCCAATTTTATGATTGTATGTTTGTACTACCCAACCGAACCCTGGAACTGAAGTATTTAACAATAAATTCGCATGTTACTAAAACTTTTAAAAAAGAATTAAATATTCATGTATGCAGAAGAGTAGTTTCCAGTTGAAAATTTAAAATTAAACACGTCTGCCTACATAAAACCTAAGTAAAAAGTCACCGAAAAGTTCAAGAAAGTCAACTGTCAGTCAAAATCTTTTCAGTCTAATCTTGAGGTCCCCGAGAGCAATGACTTTCTAGGACATGTTGATTAGTTTGTTTTGGCAGGTAAAAGATGTAAAACCAAAACAAACTAATCAACATGTCCTAGAAAGTCATTGCTCTTGGGGACCTCAAGATTAGACTGTACCTTTTAAGTATTGGAAAACTTTAAAAAGAAGATTGATGAAATCGATATATTTACCTAGTTGTTGTCAAGTTATGGCGTGACAAAGGTAAATAGGAATTCATTTATTGAAGTTATACTTCTTTAGGCGCGTTATGAAAAAATGATGAGAGTGAAATTTTAAGATGCGCGCGCATCACTGTAACACAAATTATTAACAGCATGAAGTTGGTCGCTTTAGCTTTAGTTACTTTTGTGTTTACCGCACATTAAGAAAATCTACCAACAAAATAGAAATAGAATCTCTATTTAGTGGGTGCTAACGACTGCATTGTGAAGGCCTATCAAAAGTATTTATTAATCTGGAACAACGGAACCAAAGCGCGATTCAGGAGACTACAGCGCCATCTCTTGACCATTGGTGTAGTAGAACCAAAAACCACATCTTTATTGACGTGACAACGTCTTAAATTAGGTTGCGGCTGGGAGTCACTTATGAAAAAGTGTAACGCTCGGTAACGTTACGATGAGTTTAAGTTTACATGTACAATGTTTTAGTAAACAAAATATATTTCTATAGTTAAAATTTGTGCAATTCTTATTTTCATTCAATTCCTTGTTCCTATTGTGCAATTTAATTATATTCATATCAATAAATATTCTACCGAGAAAAAGACGTTGTCACGTAAAATCTTCGCCCGT